CACAATAATCATCATACAAACTTTACAAAGTCGATACATACAAAATATATGTTTTTTTATGCAACATACAAAATATATGTTATTTGCACAATAATCATCATATAAATTTAGGCTTTTCAAAAAATCGAAAATTGATCCAATCCAAACTGAATAAAATTGGATCAGATTTGAAAAAAATCCAAACCGAATAGATGATTACATTATCAAACCGAAGTGATTGGATCAGATGATTTTTGCTTTCAAAATCGATCCAATCCAGACTGAAAACACCCCTACCATGCATGGGAGACAACATTCAACATATATACATTACACAACCATTGTGAGGGGGACCACAGACAACTAATTTTATTGAGATAATAAACAAAGTCTCAGAACACGTACCTTCTTTGAACTAATTAAAATGCTAAGCTTATTCTCATACTACCACTAGAAATCACCCCACTTCCAAGTCCTTGCAGGTGGAGTCGCGTTCTCGACGCAGAAAGCACCCTACGTCACAAGGTTCACCAGTAATGTTGCTCACGAGTAAGGCTGGTGTTTTTCGCCAGTAAGCAAAGTCAAATGAGTGTGTCATAAGACAAATGCAAGGTTGCCGATGAATAAGGCTGAGGTTCAAACCCCAAATGATGTCGTTGCTTCTAATACACAGAGCGGCGTAGTATTCTGTCCGAGGTGGATTGTGACTCAGCAACTTAACGTTCCACGTGTAAAACATTACAAACGACGTTAGAGGCCCACTAACAAAAGGACAAACGTGTGCCTAATTTTCAAATAACAAGGACCATCAATGCCCATTTTTTTACTTAAGGACTAATAAGGGAATCGTGAAATTTGTTGAGTATCAAAAAGAGTATTTACTCTTAAAAGTATTATATCTTTTTGTGTTTTTTAGTATTTTCACTAAGCAGAATACGAGAAGACATTAATGAAATAATGAAATTTTAAATATTTTAATAATAAATTATATAGTCAGAATATAATCATAAGGTTTTATAATTAAAATTTTTTAACATTTTTTTATTTCTTATAAAAATCTTCAAAAACTGATATTTTAAAATATAATAGTGTCATTTTAATGCCAAATTTTTTACGGCACATATTAAATGACAGACGGCAAGACATTTTTCTTAGTGGGAAACACGTGAGGGAATCTCTCGATAATAATAGTTTATAGAAGACAGGCTCCAAGTAGCCAATGTGCTTACTTTTACGGTTTCGCCGCTAAAGGAAGAGCTGGCTCCTTTTTATCGTATATGTGCTGATATCATTACCTATGACGTAATTTGCTAACGCTATCCACGGTCATTCACAGTAAAATCTTGATGAAGTTAATCAAAACAACGATTTTTTTTAGACATTGAAAAAATTTATTTGTACTCGAAAATAATATTTTAAAAACGGGTTTAAGAGATCTAAACAAGTAAAATTATTTTTAAAAATTAAATATATGTATGTTTTAAAATTTTTATGGGTCTCACACCTAGAATTAATTTTTAAAATCAATTAATTTTAATAACCCAAAATATAAATCAAACAACTTAATTAAATTACTGTACAAATTCATTTTACTAAAAAAAATGCGACTTTGGGAAATTGGGGTTATCCAAACGGGCGCTGAGTCATGCGATTAAGTCAATAAGATAAATTTATTTTATGTGATCTGCTTTTGTATTGCACGTGATATTTAAGATAAACTGGACTTAAACATGAATAAATTTATTAATATTTTTAACTTTTCTATATCTAATTATATTTAAACTAGTTATATCAACTCATTTAATAATTATTTTTACTTTTGAGGCAGTTTTTCCTTTTTATATGATTTGATAAAAAAAATTCTTATAAAAATCTTTACTTTCTAATATGGTTGTCTTTTTAAATTTCAGTATTTTATTATTCGATTTAAAAAATTAATGTGATCCTATATTGCAAGAGAAAAACTGGATATACATTACTCAAAACAAAACAACAATCATGCCAATATATAAAATAAAGGAAAAATATTTGCAATTTTAAAAGAGAATTTTTTTGTCATTTTAAAGAATATAACTTTGTATCATTTAAAAAAAAATCATATTTTGATGCATATTTAGTGATTTTTTATATTTTATCTCCTTTATAAAACTAGGAGAAGAGATAAAGAGAATGTATAGTGAAAGATAGAATATAAAAAATATCAAAATACAGTCATTTCACTTAAAATAACACAAAGCTATGTTCTTTAAAAACTGGGCAAAAAAAATTCATATAAAATAAGCTTTAAACTAATCTTTATTAATATTTTAACATATTGTTATTATTATTAATTAAAACAAAAGTTATATTTAATGATGTGCTAAAATATTAATGAGTGTCAAAATAGGACTTTTTATACTGACAGCCCATTTGATCAAATTTTTTTTATTTTCTTCCATGAATTGAAATTTTCAAATAGAAATGGATCTAAACAAAATTCTTATATTAGATAAATACGTAGACAGTGAAGAAATCCAGAGAATATTTCTGCATTGCTTTTTACAACGATACCATTTATCCTTGAAGTGTCCATCTTTAACCGGTTCCGTGTGACACCAATCTCTAAGCACACTGAGATATTATTATATTCTCGATCAAACTAGCACTAATCTCTAGTATTTTAATACCTCCAGAACTTTACGTGAATCATGACATTAGTAAATAGGCCCCATACTGAATAGAAAATGCAAATACCAAATAGGACCCAGACACTAGTTTTACTTTGCGCTAAGCAAACGCGCCACGTATACAAAAATATCGATTTTAAAATCTAAAGGTTAAAAACTTTTTTTTTGGGTGAATATAAAATTAATTTGTACAAAGTAGCTTAATGATGGAATAAAAGATGTTCATCATAAAATACATTATAAAATCCAAAAAGAAAAAGATGCATGTTTCATTATATTTTTAATTCTTTACTTTTTTTTACCGTTGTTTATTTCTACAGTAAGCCGGCACTGGAACCAACACTTACATTCCATTTTACGTTGTGATATTTAAATTTGGAAAAAAAATTGTGTCTTTTTAAATGATATATCTTGTGTTTTTTCACTTTTTCAAAGAAGTAATATCCACACTTTTAAAAAAAAGTTTACTCATTCTCTCTCATAATGTATCTCTTTCTCTCACTTAAAATAACATGATTTTGTGTCCTTTAAATTGATACATACTTTTCTCTTTAAATTTAGGATTTATTAATTCTAGGAGATAAATTTACTTTCTACACACATATAAAAGTGTGTTAACCCATATTTTTTTTCTCTTCTACTCTTATAGGCCCACATGAATCCTACATACTTATATATGTATATAGAAAATAAATTTATCTGTTACAATAAGAAAGTATTAAACCCTTAAATTTATGCATAATACATCAATTCGTGTACAGATAATATAAGGGTTAATTGTTCCTCATATTATAAGAGATAAATTTATCTCATATATACACATAAAAATATATGGGGTTTATATTTTTTCTTTATCTTTTCTCGTCATATAGTTTTCACACACTTTTACGTATATGTAGGAGATATATTTATATCTTACAATATAAGAAACATTAAACTCATAATTTAATTTAAATAGTTTTCCTATAGAATTTATAAGCTTAACATCTCAGTTCCTTTTGTCGGTAATAAGTTTAAGGGAAAAACGTTTGTCATTTTAAATAATGTAAAGTTATGTCATTTTATGAGAGAGATAACTAGACACAAGAAATTATTTTTTTACAAAAAATTTAAATTAAAAAAAACCACCCACTTTCTCTCTCATGAATGCACATTTCGTTACAAGGTAAGGAAAAAACCCCAATTTCAATCTGAGTTTATAGTAAGATTATATATTATCTATCAAAGAGAAAAATTTAAAAATCGAATCCAACTCACAATTAGCATATATATATATATATATATATATATATATATATATATATATATATATATATATAATTGACCCGAAATTGTGTTGAGTTTAAAATAGAACATGTTGTTTACTAGATATATATAATTGACCCGAAATTGTGTTGAGTTAAAAATAGAACATGTTTACTTAGAAAAAAAAAATTAAACATGTTATCAAACATATTTTTTTACTCAAAATTTATTCCAAGGCAAAAAAACAAAAAAACAAAAAAAAAATTTCAGAAAAAATGCTAAAAAACAGAATAATTGTCATGCGGCCTTTAGTGAAATTTTCAAGTGAGAGATAGGAGAGATTTTCTTCTCTTTGTTTGGCGTTATAGTTAAAGTATAAAGAATAAGTCTGATTTTCTTTTCTTATTTAAAATAAAATCATTCCATTCCTTATTACCAAATTCAAGAGGAAAGAATTTTAGAACATTTCGTTCCCTTTTTACCCCTTCTCTCGTCACATTCGATAAAATGCTGATGCAGTTGCAAATTAATGTGCGGACATCACCCTTTTCCTAATTTGAGTAAGGATGTATTACTTTATTAGTACTAGATCGTAATTTAGTTGGTGTTAAAAAATTAAGTAGGTAAAAGTGAAAATATATATTTGATGATTGAGATATATAAAATTATTAATGTAGCTTCACCCTTTAAGCAAAGTGCGCTCTCGCGTAAAAAAGCGTGTTGAGATATATAAAATCGTTAATGTAACTTTACCAACAGCTTAAACTTTTAAGTTGAATTTGTTGTTAACAAATCTTTCTCAAACTATCTTTGAAAAAGATTTAAAACTTAATCTCGAAATCTGCTCTAAATCAAACTATTCGTGAAACAATAAATTCATTAAAATATTTAAAAGAAAAAAAATTACTATATTAGCTTACAAGAACTCTAACTAAACATTAGTGGGTCCATCTTTCAATTATATAAGTTTGAGTCATGATTGGGGATGTCAGAACAGACGATACGCGTCTCAAGCGCCCACGCTATTAATACTGAGCAATTCTATCTTTTTTGTCCTAGAGCTGATGATTTGTCTTGTTAACTTTGGTCTCAGAAAAATATTTCTATAACATGGTGAGAGCTCCTTATTTTGATAAAAATGGAATAAAGAGAGGTGCATGGAGTGATGAAGAGGATAAGAGGCTTATATCTTACATTGAGAGACAAGGCCATCCTAATTGGCGTCAACTCCCAAAGTTTGCAGGTATGGAATTCGTAACAAATTTGCTAGAAATAACATTTGGTAAACCAGCTCTTTAATTGCAAAGCTTGAATTATCAATTTGATTAATCATGATCTTTACTTATTGTAAGTACTCTTCTATGTAATAGGTTTGGCAAGATGTGGAAAGAGTTGCAGACTTCGTTGGATGAATTACCTGAGGCCAAATCTAAAACGAGGAAACTATACACAGAAGGAAGAGCAAACAATCACGGATTTGCATAAAAAACATGGAAACAAGTATTGATTTCTGTTCTTTTTTTTTTTTTTTTGGTACATTTAATGAAAAACATAGGATAAGGAATATCGCCTCTAATGTTAAACCATCATTTGATTTGGTCATATAGTTTTGTTGTTTTGATCAAATGGTTTCTGGGAAAGATAACAAATTTTCTTTATCAGCAGAATTCAGTGAAGGGTAATTAAGCGTTTGGTATGATATGTTGTCACAGATGGTCTCTGATTGCTGAAAATCTACCTGGAAGAACAGACAATGAAATAAAGAACTATTGGCACAGCCACCTAAAGAAGTTCTCACAAACCAATGAGATCACAACATGTGATGATGAGTTTGAGTCCAACCCAACTCAGAGTACAGAATTTGAAAGGCCAACAAACGATGCTGTTAGTGCTGATTCTCCACACATTTTGGAAAGTTCATTGTCCATGTCCTCGGAAACTTCATACAACGAAGACAATTCACCTTCCTTTTCCTCTAGTCATATAGAATCAACCGTGAACTTGTCGAGGGAAGAAGATAGTGTTGCTTTATGGGAAACGTTCGGTGGACTCAGTAGCAATTTTTGGACAGAACCATTTATTTCAGAAAACGCATTCAGTCAGGATTACTTTCCCATTTCATGCTGTGGAGAAGAGATGGATGAACCATTTTTCATATGGTAGTGTTAACTGTTGTTCTACAAATTGTGATGCTAGAATTTCCTAAAATGTTCAAATAGCTAAGTAGTCTTGCTCCCAGCCGGTTCATAATTTACAATTAAAAAAGACAACTGATGTGCCATCGAGCTTTTTCCAGTACAAGCACTCAAGTGAAGGAGATATTATGATGTAATTTATACATGATATTATATAATTTGGGTAAGATCTCCTCGTGGTAGTTATCAGAATAATAAATTTTATATTTAATTTTAATAGTTAACTTTTGTATATTTGATGATTATAATTTATTGAAAAAATAATTTATTAATAAGAATAAATTAATCAATTACAATCATTTGATAAAAAAAAATTAACGGCTAAAATTGAGTGTAAAATTATTATTTTTATATTAGTATAAATTGATTTTATCCCCATATAATTATATATGTAATTAGATTTAAAATGAAATAATATTGTTATATTTAAAGGGTTGCAAATCTACTAAAATCAACACTTTTAAGTATGTAATATTGTTTCAAAATAACAATTTACATGTGTAAAACTTTTTTTTTTTTAAATAGTTACAATTTACTTTTTAAAAAAAGGGTACAATTCTGGATAACGTGACATCTTTATATGTTCAGGATGGAAATTTTTAATATGATCGACGATGATCATGTTTTTTTCGCTAAAAAATTGACACCTGAATTAAAATTTTAATTTTCTCTCTCCTCAATTTTTTTTCTTTTTCTCCAACTTCCCACCCATAAAAAAAAATGTGCCGGGAGAACATAAAAATCACTCGTTCAGTATACATGATTGAACAATATTTTTGACACATGCTATATTACTCCAAGTCAAGTCAAGTCAAAATTTAAGTTTATTGCCTGTCAGTTTTCATGAGCGAAAGTTTACCGGTCACCACGCAACAATATGGCCGCACAACAGAAAAAAAACAAAATATAAAAAAAAAAAATCTTTCAATGCCCCCACCAAACTTACCTGGAAAAAAATTTAGAGTAAATATTCTTTTTGCTTACTAATAAGAAATACGGTCTTTATTTTAGTCCCTTACAAAAATAAATTAATCAGTTAGTCCTTAACAAATTCAAAGTAGACCCATTTAGTTGAAATCACGGTCTCTCACAAATTCAAAAAAGATCCATATTAGTCCCTCAAAAGGACTAAAATGGGTCTACTTTGAATTTGTTAGGGGCTAACTGACTAATTTAATTTTGTAAGGGACTAGAGTAGAGACCGTGTTTTTTTGTTAGGGACCCAAAAAAGTATTTACTCAAAAATTTAAATGCATAAGAAGCACCTTCGGTGATTCCTTTTATTTAAATAGAAATGTTTTTTAAACTTAAAGAGAAATATAAAAAAAAAAGGTAAAAAGAGATTTTTTTTTTTTTTTTTTTTTTTTTTTATAGTAAAAGTGAACACCAAGTTGTACTCCCAGTGCATTAAAAATTTTCACCCAAACCAGATCTCTTTTATGGTCTCAAATCCTAACCCCAGGCAAGGATGAAGGGAAAACTAACACTAAAGCAAAATGTTAAACTCGTTCTAGATTAAAATTTTCCACACAAGAAAATTCAATGTTCGGCTCACCAAAAACTGAGCAATGATATGTGGATGTTGAAAATATAGCTTAGTTTATCAAACAAAATCTTACATCGTGTAATTTTTATGTATGCCCTCTTTTACTTAATTATATAATAGTTTCGTTACTCATCTAAAGAAAGCAGTTTACTCATATGTTTCTCATTTCTCTCTCATTGAACATGGTATCAAGAGCCTAACGAGAAACAAATCTTAATTCGTGCCTATCCAGTGGACATACTGTCTGCTAGTGATAAAAAATATTTTTTTTGGAAATCATGTTATCCTCTCGGTTTCTGGTATTTCTTCCACAAATGTCGCTCCGACATTATATTTAGTTGTTAACCATCGTCCTAGCAACCAATCAACATCTCCAGTCATTGTCAGCCACTTTTCCAACGAATCTCCACTGCTAGCCGCCGACAACCATCGTGCCAGATCATCTTTCCTGCGAGTTTTCAGGCGTTCCACCCATCAATTGGTCTGCCTTCTCATGGCGGTGGTGTCTGAATAGGTCCCAGCCTCAACGGAGAAAGGACATGCTCACACATGCCAAACGAAGCAGCGACGTTATCTCACCTACAGTTGGTGCATGACGGCGCGTGGAACGTCTGCTCCACCTGCAACTTGGCTAGACTTGGTCGTTGTCTTCTCCTGATTCCGAATTTGTTCCCTTCGAGTTTATCGGAGCTTGTTTCGTGGTACATGTTCTTGAACGCAGACATTTTTTATTTTTCGATATGCGTTTGTTGTCTTTACCGGCTACCTATAGTTGATTCTCACTCTGATAACATAGGCACCTATTTTTAGTAATTATGTTCATGCTTTATGTTGTGACTTTGGCAAGTACACCGGTCGTACAAGTAATATAGTGAAAAATAATGGGGTTGTTGTTCCCACAAGGATTGATATACCAAGCACTAACTTATCTACGCGGGATCGATCTTTAAGGTTTCTTGATAATAATTCAAATTATAAAAATTGAATTTAAAAATTAACAATTAATAAAATTAATAAGCAAGAACAAGAATGGATTGAAATCAAATAAAATAAAGCATAACTAGGGATTCGATTTCCAATATATTTTCCTAACAGTTATACCCTTTTATGCAATCAATATTCAAGATGATGTTATCAATGATTCTCTCAAAATTAAATAAACCTCAATCGCTTGATGATTTAATCATTTACTTTATTCAAAACCTTAATCCCTTAGTGGTTTTTCATAAAGCAATAATCACACATCATAGAATTCATAAGCCTATGCCTAGATCATACAAACCCTAACAATTAATCAATCGGAATCAAAACACCAACATTCTTATTGTCATGCAAGATTCTAGTGTTCATTTAAGATTGACCAAATCACAAACGAACTTTAAAGATTAATTGCATAACTTGAAACATGAATATCAATTACATGAAAGAATAAAACAATGTGAGGAACCCATTGGTTCCATCTCACCCTAACTAGATAAAGAAACCTAACCTATAATGTTCATAGAAACAAGAACAAAAGATGAAGAACATTGAAAGTCATAGAAAACTTAGTGATTAAAGAATGGTGATGAAATCTTGAAGCTTTCCTCCTCCTTCTCCTCCTAAAGAGTACTTCTCTGCCACCTCAAGATACCTCAGCCACGCAATAATGAATTGGAATAACCTAATTTGTTCCCTTTTAATAAAAATATCCATAGGCCTTTAATTGGATCTCTGCTTGCTAAGTTGATCGCTAAAGCAAGCAACTTAGCGAGCAAAAATGTTTAGTTCACAGACTTTGCACGCTTAAGTGAGCATGAACGCGAGCAAAAATGACATCCTCGCCTGCTTAAGTGAGCAAGCCAACGAGAAATAGGTTAATTTATGGTTTTCTGGGAAAGCTCGCTGGACTTGCTCGCTTAAGCGAGCAAGCCAGTGAGCATAAAATGATAAAAAAATTTATCTTCATTTGACTTGAACTTTATCTCTTCCAACTTCTTTGATCCATCAATGTTGTGATTTATCATTTTAAACCTGAAACTATATAATTTTGAACACAGATACCGATTCTGCTACTCGATATAAATGCGTACCGAAGAAGTATCCCGAAAAATTATAATAAGTGCATGATAATTCCTAGAATATTAAATAGGACTATTAAAACAAGTTTCAAGTTAAAATAATGAGAACTGGTGCCAGAAACTGATACTGGCTATGAAAAGCGCGTACCGAAAAGATGCTCCGAAAAATAAAATAAAAATATGATAATTCTTGTAAAATTGAGTAGGTTTAGAATCCTGAGTTTAGGATTAAAATGCTAAGCGTAGAAATTAAAGTTAATACTGTGTGTTTAATTCTTAAGAGTCTATATATAGGCTTGTTAGCACAAAACCCTAGGCCATAATACTGATCCTATGTGAGTCTTGGGGCTGGTCAGCTGCTGGTTCACTGTTCCATTGCTTCTCCACCATTTTGTGAGCCTTGTGACCTCTTTTCCTCCATTTCTCTTCACTTTGTACCTTAGGTGAGTGGGAGAGATCTTTGTGAGTGTGAAAGGAGCACATTTTCTGAGTGTGGTGGCTGTGTGGAGTCAGTTTGTGGGCTGAGTTGCTTGTGTGGGTGTTGTGAGCCTCTTCCTTGGTTGTTGGAGCTCCAAGGAGCAAACTTTGTGGAGAAAGATCCCTGCTTGAGTGGTATTTTCGTATTTGAACCAAGTCAGAACTTGAGAGGCAGTGTGGTGAGCTCCAAGATCCATTATTGCTCTGTTTTGAGCTTTGGTAAGTGTCACCAACTGTAAAGAACCTTGGGATACACCACCCCAAAAGCTAGCTCAAAGGGTGGGAGTGCCCAAGGCCTTATAAAGGCCATATTAGTTGCCCATCTAATCAATGTGGGATTATATATCTCAACACGCCCCCTCACGCAAGAGCCTTTTTTAGGCTAGAAGCGTGGAAATTGCACAGGCCCATTTTTGGTTTACCTTTTTGTGCTTTTTTTTTTTATTTTAATTCCACTTTTTAAAGCGGGGGACGGTGAGGCTCTGATACCATGTTAAGAACCTTGGAATATACCACCCCAAAAGCTAGCTCAAGGGGTGGGAGTGCCCAAGGCCTTATTAAAGGTCATATTAGTTGACCATCCAATCAATGTGGGACTATATATCTCAACACCAACCTTGATCATGAGTTTTAATGGTTTAAAGAAGTGTCTTGGCATGTTTAATGAGTTAAACAAGTAACCAACTGTTATATGAACTTAAAAGAGGTTAAACATGCATGCTTGGACGTTGGAATAGGTTAAAAACCCAACCTTTGGAAGGATATCTCGCGAAATGCAGAACTGCATTCTGTCGCGAAATATCCAGATATGTATATCCGGATATTGATATCCGGACATGATATCCAGATATGGGGATCTGAATATCCAGATATTGATATCCGGAT